GACGGACGAAAGCTTAGCACTTTTTCACCGGAACCGAAGGAGATAATCTCAGAAACAGCGTCAGCATGAATCTTCCAGTAAAGCCAATCGACAGCTGGTCAAGAGGAATCCGCAGTCGTCCTCTGGTGGAACCGACCTTCGAAACTCTTCACTCAACACGTTAACTCGAAATGGAAGTAAGCTCAACAATAATATCCACAAGCATGGGAATCAGAACCTAGGCGCTCAACAGATGATGCGACTTTGTACGTGCTACTGAAGGCTTGAAAAATAGCACTTAGAGTAAAAATATACTGGATCTGAAACCGAATGAAATCGGTCAACCAGAAAGATAAGAGACGGACCTAAGGGCCCAAGAGGCATATCCGTACATGAGACTAGAGCAGTATCAGCCACTCGAAAGGGAGAAGAGCAAGGCAAACAACAGGTTTGATTAGACCACGGTAAATTCATCAAAAGCAACATCTCTTGTGGAGTATAAACATGTAAGAAGTTGTGATAGAAAGAAAATGAGACTAGAGGGTATGAAATAGATAGAGGGACCAGGACAAAACGAGGAGTGATAGCATTACCGTCTCGACAGAAAGTTGGCGAAGGGATTGACTTTATCTGTCTCTGATAAGTTGTGGCTTGGCTGTTAAGAATGGTAAGACTCACTGACGATGCCGGCGAAACTTCTGGAAATATACCAAGTCCACGGTCCGAATCAGGAAATTATCATGCATTCTATGGACTCCGGACAGGGTGTGTTCCTCTAGGTCCTACTGCCAATGTGACCAAGTTGCAAATAGAAGGTTAAACAACTTCCATACATTTTTTAGGTTTATTGGAAGCTAAGTTGTAAAAATATAAAGGGATTCAAAATTTCGTTTGAGCCAGAATAGTTAATAAGATTTGTATATACTTTGAGCACTAGCTTCTCCTAAACAGATAAAATATATTGTTAACAACATCCAGAGACGCACTTGGCGTCTTTAGTGGAACCATTTTGGGGTTTTCCTGTAGATGCTGATTGCCTATTTTGGGCTGTAACATCGATTCCAGATGTGCCCACACGGCCACTTGGTTCTGCCATATTCTCAGGTGCCTTTTGTAAGTCAACTTGAGGATACGAAGAAGAGTGTGCCGGTAGTAGAGGTTGTTGAGGAGGGTCGAGTGGGAGGTCGGCCGTGGGGTTAGAGTGGCTGGGCAAAGGCTGTTGGCGGCGCAGCTTGCAAAAGGAGTGCAATGTGGCTGGTAGAAGACTGACGTTAAGGGTTTCATTAAATGACAAGTCGTAGACAGTCTGAGATTTAAAAGTGAACAAAAAGGTTTCAGGAAAGGTGTGTGTAAATTTGTAGAAAGATGTAATAATAAAAAAGTGGGGTTGGCTAGTCTCAATCCAGAACAAATATGACATTAAAAAGGGATAGATTTGACGAAACTCATACCGTGCATTAACACAAAATACTTCCCTGTTAGGATAGGCTCATAATGGATTTCAATATGGGAAAAATGAAAAAGTGTTTTTAAACTAATATACTAGTGCATGAAGATGGTAGATACAGAAGAAAGTCTATTTCGACGAGATAATTCGCTATTAAGAAAACCTTAGGCTATGTAAGAAGATTCGTTAGAAGAGTCCACCTTTCCTCACTTATTCCTACCGAGATAATTGAGACATTTAAACACAAATATATATTCTACATATTATATAGGAAAGAAGTTAAGGAGCCGTAAATTATAAGGATGGATGGAATGAAAAAGAACAAATTAAATATTGGCAACATAAGAAGAGAGATCAGAATACATGATTCGGTGAAAAGACAAATATAAAAAAGTGATGATTGGATCTTATTTTATGCGATGTTGAGACATTCTAAACAGATGAAGAATGTCCAAAGTCCAAGCAAGTTAGGTCGATTGGCGTACTATTTTTGGCTAATTTACATTCTTTCTTGGTTGCTATACGCTGGGAAAAATTCTAAAAGGAGGCTTGTCATTGAGTACAATGAACAATAGTATATATTTGACTTTATAAAGCAAGACTTATTTAAAATATTACATACAAAAATCAATTGAATGTAGATAACTTTTAGGCCAGGTATATTTTTAGCGAAAGAATAAAATGCCCCTTACTTTGGGTTTTTCGGACCCCGTACTCAACATATTGCGTGAATCTGCTGAAGAAGAATGAAAAGTAGTCGTAGGGGCATAAGCAGCGAAGGTCAGAGGATTGCGTTTATCAGTCACAAATTTAAGCTGACCAGGTTTAGCGTAATTAACTTCAACAGCCCTAGCCGCAGGACCAGAGACGGCAGGCTCCGCGGGCCCCATTACGAGCTTAAGCACAAGTAGGTGATGAAAGGATATTTAAGGCAAATATTAGAAGAACAACTATTAATGAATGGATAAATAAAATAGATATATTTTTGGTTTAAGAAGTAAAATTCAAACAAACTAATATCCATTTAATACTTTTATGAGGTTCGGAAATTTTTTAAACAGCCCTATTTATTATGAGCATTTTTAGTAAGCATAAAAATGGAATTCTATTTGTAGATTCAGAGGATGTGATAGGTAAAAATTTTAATATACAAAGTCTTTGGTTCTGGAAAACCTAGCAAATAAAAATAAAAACAAATAAGAGCTAAAATATATTATTCAACAGACGAAGTAATTTTCTTTAGCAATTACTAATCAGTGTAAAGAATCTCAAACCTATCAAAATAAAGTTCCGTACGGCTGGAAATAAAAATTAGAGTAAATGTTTTTTGCCAGTAAAATCACACAAATTTTTTCATAGCAAAGGCCAGAGTTGTTCAAGCGACACTCCAGTTATATTCTATTCAAATCTTCATGTCGTTAAGCTATGTTAAATAATATAATAAATCCACTAGCGAGCTCTTTTGGATTTGATACTTAAGCGTACGAAGTATCATTTTCCAGTCAGCCTCAGAAGAGACAAGTTACTTATCATATTTTAAGAGGCAGGCTTATATAAATTAAGGCCAATCACTTAAGGCACAAGTAAATTTGATTATATAAAGAAAATCTCTAAATCCGCCACGAAGATAGCAAAGCGAGAAGTAAACCATTTAGATGCATTTCTTTTGAATTCAGGCACGACTATTATCCGTCTAAGCAAATGCTAAAATGAGAGGTAAGTTAGGGTTTAGAGTGAAATATTAGGTCAATTTTGAGTGATTAAAGCTCAAAATCATGAAAAAACATTGCAATGAAATTTATTGAAGTCAAATAACAACTAGCGAATTTCATTGTTCTTTTGTCTATAACAAAATTGACATACTTCATAAACATAAAAAGTCTGTTTGTAGCAACTTGTGTTATGTCTTACAATATAACTAAAGAACAAGGGATGGCAAAGATAAGTATACACAAAGGGATCGGTTTAAAACCTTTGTAAAGCAGTCTTATATTTGAGTTTAGAAAAATACAGTACTAATGCACTCCTCTAACCTTTGCCATCCATCAAGAACTCTTATAGCTGACATTTGGCATCGCAGAACAGAGATTGTATAAGAACAATTGAGTAAAAATGGTTGCAAAGGTTGGTCGAGTCATAAATAAAATTTTTACAAGTCTGCAAAAAAATAATCAAGGCTAAAGCACCAAAGAATTCAACGTACTTTCTTTGAGGTTCGAACAGCTTTCTGCGTGGTCTGCTCAGATGACCTCTTTTTTGCCTGTGGAGGAAACTGACATTCTCGATGATCCCCAGCGCATTTTATATGGGTTAATTTAGATGGCTGTGTAGAGAATTTTCGTTGCATTTGCTTGCCTTTATCATTGATAGAGAGAGAAACAGCCATCT